ATATGTGCAGTGTGCATAGGAATTTGTTCATAGTTTTTTTTTTTTTTTAAACTATAGTCCGGCCCTCCAACGGGTCTGAGGGACAGTGAACTGGCTCCCTGTTTAAAAAGTTTGAAGACTCCTGCTCTATAGGACACAGTAGCACTGCCCCATAGGGTTCCCAAGGCTGTCAATCTCTATAGAAGCCAACAACCACTTCTGTCTCCAGGGATTTAGTAGTTGGTTGATAACTGAAAGATTGGTGGTTTGAACCCACCAGCTGCTCCACTGGAGCAGCTTAGAAACGTGAATCAACTAAACATAAGGGAAGCCCTACAGAGGGATATAGTGTAATTTTCAGATAACAAACCATTCCCTAGGCAATAAATATCACCTAGGGTTTGCCCTGGCCTAATCAATAGTCTGGCTCCATTACAGGACGATCATCTTGTATGGAGTCAAGAGAATCCACAGAAATGTGGTGACACATTGTAGCCTTTGAGAAGAAAAATTAACCAATAGAGTCTAGACCTCGCCTAATGAAGGCAATAAATATGAACTTCAGATGTATACAATTAAGCTTGAGTGTTTCTTCCACTACTCCCTCCCTCCAAAGCAGACATTTATTTAAATAAAGCATTAACTACAATATGAATAAAAATAAGGAAAGACTAAATTCCAGGAAACATATTTTAATCAGTTCATTGCCTCCCATGGACACTAACTGCCCTCTGCAATGAAAAGAAAGGGGGTTTCAGCTACTATAGTAAGATGAATAATGTGAACTATAAACCATCAGTGTAACAGTTAAGAGAAAAAGTTGTGTTTTAATAGAACAGTTCTATATTTCATTTTTAAAAGAATCACATTTCTTGTTCCAATCTTTGCCTAAAGAAGATTCATGCTGTCTCTAAGAAAAGGGGAAAAATGAAATCCACTGAGCGTGACACGATGGTTGTGATGCCGCCGAGTTAGGGGCCAAGGGAGACAGGTACCACAGATTGATTTATATGTGGTTTGCAAGCACAGCATGATTCTTTTTCTCATATTGCTAAATTCTGCCCATTACATTTCAAAGAAAGTACTATTTACCACTGGGCATCTCTTCAATCCCTTTAAGACAAAAGCAGAAAAATAAGATTCCTCAAAATGATAAAGGTCAAAACTTCTGGTGAATTAAAAATGCCTTCAAGAGCCGAGGTGCAGCCCAGCCCAGGTCTTCAATCACAGAAGTGGAACCTTAGTCCTGGGTCACACGCAAGGCTCACATTGTTACACTCCCACACAGCACGGTGTTCACCCTCATTTGTTCCATCTTTGTCTTCAAAGAAACCCCCTAACATTTTCATGAATTCATTTGTGTAATCTTATGCTTAGTACACATTTCTATAAGCAGTTTTACAGTAGACAGACTTAAAAATAGTGAATTCTTGATGATCAATTGATGTTTTAGAAAAAAATAATCTTAGTAGTTAATAATTACATTTAATCTTAGGAAAGGATTTAATATTAAATGGAAAGAAAAGTAAGTTAAAAAGTAGAAATGCCTATTTTTCATTTTAGAAAATGTAAAAAATAGAGCCCATTCATGGCAGCATTATAAGTCAGTGATTTATTTCCTGTACCAAATATGCCCATAGAATGATATGCTAAACAGATTTTAAGGCCCATACACATTTGGATCATGGGTTGTAATCACTAATCCTTTTTTTTTCCCTTTACGTCTTTTGCTGATACAAGAAGCTTTGAAAAGCTTGTGGAAAGATGGACTTAAAAAGTAATGCTTCCTTTTCCACAACCTTTTGACGCTCCCCTCACATTCTGCCGTTGGAAAGTAAAGAGCGCACACTGCAGTTTACAGGTTACATTTGACCAGGCTTGGAGGAGCATAGATGTGGGGCCAGAGTTTCTGTATCTGCGGCACTGGGCAGGAGAGGGTTGTGGTTTCTTCAGAGCCCTCTAACCCATCGCCCTCAGACCCTCATAGGATGTCCTTGTTCAACACTGCTGCCTTGAAGTTTAAATCTCTTTAAATTGATCCTGGGTATCCAAATTATTTTCTATGCTCTCTTTTTATAAAATCCATCCTAGTGCTAAAAATCCCATGCCAGTTTTAGTCTTAAAATCTAAGATTTAGTCTAAAATCTGGTCCTTAATCCAATTTATATCCTTCTGCCACTCGCCCTTTGCTTCTCTTCTTCCAAATATTCCTCTGCTGAATTTTCTACACTTTTCTGTGCTTACATCACCAATGAGTAGCAGAGTGCCGAAGGAAGTCTTTCTCAAATGTCTATTTTGGGAAGGGGTGTTTGCTTGGGTTTTTGTTGTTGTTATTGTTTTGGTTTGATTTTTGCTCCAATCAATCATAGAGCTATACATTCGTAAAACATAATGAAAGGGATAACTACACCCACGGCCATCATGTCGATTCTAACCCAGAGCTGTTCTATGTAACCAAACTGCTCGCTAGGGTTTCTGAGACTGTAAGTTTTTATGAGAACAGACAGCCTTATCTTCCTCCTGAACTTCAGACTCTTAAAAAGTCACTGGTGGGTTTGAACCGTTGACCTTCCAGTTAGCAGTCCAGTGCTTATTCTCTCAGAAATGGGTGACTAGATAAATTAAACAGCAAAAAGAACAAACAGACAACATATAAGCCCAGCAATACTGGTTTGGGGATGCTGCAGCAATATTAAATCACAAAAGTTTCTTTGAAAGTGATTTCCATTCCGGAACTCACCTTGCTTCACAGAGCAATAGCAATCCCTTCATGGACCCGCACCAGACTGAGGGCTATACTTCTGTGTAGCACAGCTAAGAGGCTGATAAGTCCTTCTGTCATCCAGAAAGATTGCTTTCTGTCCCCACTCCCTTTTCTTTTCAATTCAGAATAGTTTCGCTATTGCAAAAGTAGAAGTAACACAGCATTTTCCAATTCAGCCCTTTGCAAGTGAGAAATTCAGTGGCACCCCTTAATCACTTTGTACAACTTCACCAATCTCGCTGCCAACTGTTCTAACTTCCTCTACAGTTGTCACTCGTTGCTCTAGTCCTGTTTGTGGCTCTCAGCTCACTTGCTGGCACCTCAGTACTAGACACACTACTGATTTTCATCTTTTGGCAACTCATGAAAGCACACTCTTTAGGCTCTTCCTGTGTCTCTGGTTCGGGTTTTTCTCTCTCCCCACCCATTTTCTTCCCCACACAGCACCTTCACCTCGTGTTGCCCATTGCTCTGTGCTCAGTGACTTGCTCGTCTTCCTCTACTCACATAGATCTCATTCATAGTCCTGACTTCAAGTATTATATCTACAAGTCTAGTCTCCATCTCTCTAGCCTGAAGTAAAATCAGGTTCTCTCTCAAATTTCCTTCTACAACATAGGTGTTGTTGTTTTATATCAAATGCATCATTCTGACAACTCAAATCACTTGAACCATTGTATCAAAATTCCTAAATGGTTCGGTTCTGCACTGTATCCAAGAACAAGGAAAACAGGACACCCTCTGCACGTGCTTTACATTCAGACAGGACAGGGTTAAATTTCCGCCACTGAACAAACTGCTGGCTGTTTAGTCTCTGAAAGCATTCATTTCCTTTTGTAAAAAGCTGGGTTGATACTATTATAAACCCATCTCTAGGGCTATTGTTGAAATAATGGATGCAATAACTCTGGCACACAGATAGTCCTCTTGTCATTATTACTGAGAATAACTTCTCCTGATAGGACTTTTTTATTTGTGTTGTATTACAAATAATTTTTTGACAGCTGATAATCTATTTGGGATGGAATTTATGAAAGTTTGTTAGTCACTTGTACTCCGGATTGCTATAACAACATGCTATTTTGAATCATTAAGAACAGTAAAGGGGGTGGGGGGTGGATCATACATTTGCATAGTAAAGTATCAAGTGAAAAGTAATATGCATGAACATGCATTTCATTTCCAGCACCGCCACTAACTAGCTGTGTGATTTTTATGATAGTTATCGATTGCATTGTGTCTCAGCTTTCTCATCTATAAAACAGATGTCCAAGTGCTTGATTTATATCACTTTTATATCTTAACTCTACAAGGTAAAATGCTTTTATTTCAATCCCAAACACACACTCTGTGGTGAAACACAGGCTATACATACCTGTATTATTTCTAAATAGGTTTATTCCAACACATCCACATAAAACAAAACTGTTATATCTTAAACTAACAGAAATTGGCCTATAGATACAGAACCCTACATGTGACTAGAAATATTAGATTCAAGAAAATAACTGCATTTTAAAGAAAAAAAATCTAATCCCAATGCACATTTTATAAGGTTATCTAGTTTGGCACTGTCTTAAATAAAATATACAAGCACAATCTGCATCAATCACAGATTAGAATAATCTCTGGTCAGCAACTACCATTTGTTTGTAGAAGAGCCCACGCTTCACGTGGCTTACTGACAGCTACCCTGCTGTGTCCGACACCTGCCAGGACCTGCTCTTTCCGTGGATGAGCTCATGTAACCCTCACAACGCCTACAAAATAGGTCATATTGCCCCATCCCTTTTAACCAGAGGGGAAAGCTGAGCCTCCTGGGTTCGACGAACTTCCATAAAATCACTAGGGGGTGGGAGGGTGGGAAAGGGGAGTCATCAAGCTAGAGCACATATGTTGGTCTGCAAGGATCCTAGATTTGGTTAAATGCATCATTCTATAGGTCTCTCCCAGATAAATCCAATGCAAATTAACACACAGAGCTCAAAACTAATGGACAGGGAAAAAAACCCCACAAAAAATAAGCACTCAAAACTTTAAAAGACAAGACGAATAATGGCATCCATGGAAAAGAGAATCAATATCCTCAAGAGAAAGAGGAACCCACCTTCATGACCGATGACAGATCTGGAGGCTGTCTGAAAGCTAACAAGTCCTGCCACGTTATCATTAGCCAAGATGTTCACTCTAAGAGTGTTGGAGCTGGGCGCGACTCTACTCCCACCTTCGGTGTGCACCAGGCTCACTATGATGCTCTCGTCCCCCTCGGGCTCAGCATCATCCACAATGATCAAAATAGCTGTCTTCTTGGTTTCACCTGAAAAAAAAAAAAAAAAACCAACATGCATGTAATAAAAATCAAAGGAAGCAAATCACCAGCATGACTTGCTAGAAGATCACAATATCTCCTGTTAAAAACTTTAAGTAAATACATTTAGGTGCATTATAATCGTTTGAGGTCATGAGAAACAATGAAACCAGTATATCCAAATTAGTGCATGTTAATCTGTATATTCTTTAACATACAAAACACAGTTAAATGCTATTAATGCGGGAGTTTGGAGATAAAGTCATTTTGAATCATGGACAAGCTACAGAAATTTTTAAGCAGCATGCCTTGACTTCTCGGTCTTTTGCCAAGAACAACTAGTTAGGGAAAGAGCTTTTAAAGAGTCTTCCATTGAGAAGCAGCTCCCTCTAGGAAAGGGAGAGGTTCTAGCATTAGTGTGAATGATCAGCAATAGTTAGGGAATTGTGGTCACAATAGGGAACAGTAAATAAAGACATAACGATTTTGGAGCAAAAGTGCCTGAACAGCCCAGAAGCAACAAAGCCCACATGGAAGCAGCAGACCAACATGTGTGATCATGAAGGGCTGAAGGGACCAGGCTTCAAGCACCAAAGGCGGGAGGGGGGGGGGGGGGGGCATATCATCGTAAATAAGGGTAGCGCGTGATGGGGACTCAATGCCCATCTGTGAACAACTGAACATACCTTGCAGAGGGGTAGTGAGGAGATGAGTCACTTAGGGTTCAGTATAGCAATAATGAAACTCACAACCTTCCTCTAGTGCTTAAACGCTTCCTCCCTCCAACTACCATGATCCCAATTCTACTTTGCAAACCTGGTTAGACCAGAGGATGGGAACTGGAAACACAGGGAATCTAGGACAGATGAACCCCTCAGGATCATCAGTGGGAGTGGCGATACTGGGAGGGCAGGGGTGGGGAGAAAGGGGGAATCGATCACAAGAATCTATATATAACCTCCTCTCTGGGGGATGGGCAGCAGAGGGGTGGGTGAAGGGAGACGCACTGTAAGATGATATAATAATAATTTATAAATTATTAAGGGCTCATGAGGGAGGGAGGAGCAGAGAGGGAGGGGGAGGGGGAAATGGACAATAAGGAGCTAATTCCATGAACCCAAGCAGAAAGCGAATTTTGAGAATGATGAGGGCAACAAATGTGTAGTGTTTTACACAATTGATGTATGTATGGATTGTGATGAATTGTATGAACCCCAATAAAATGATTTTTAAAAAATTAGAAAAAAAAGATTGTTATGAGCTGTAAGAGCCTCTAATAAAATGATTTATTAAAATTTAAAAATAAAGAGCCTGAACAATTTGCGTCTTAAATAACAAGAAAGACCTAAGTGCCCCTTCCCAGGATGTGAGGCAGAAGAGGAATGCAAAGGAGAGAGTTGATAGTGACAAGAACTTAGCGATCCGTGTTTCAATTTGGCCTAGACCTCCACTAGTGCCGAGCTCCCCACTGACTAACCCTAAAGCCAGTGTTGCTCCAGGAGTCCCGCCAGCGGTTGCCACACTTCACTGTCCCCTCTTTCTGGAAAGAGAATGAACGGTGAGGAAGACAAAGGGCGGAGAAGAGAGAAAGGGGTGTCAATACCTGTTTCCTCTCTAGTGACTCCTGCTTTTCATCAATCCATCAGTGTCAAGATTAAGCCCACAAAGTCTACGTGATCGAAGAATCTAGGTTAGCTATAAAATATGGTCCATTTCATATGATGGTCAATTTATAATTCAATGCAATCATGCTTTGTATAATGATATTACTTTGTGTGATAACTTTTTTGTAGTTGCCAAAGTCACTGTAAAATAAACTCTCAGCTCCACTCCTTCCTCATTAAATTTTCATTCTTCCCTTTGAAAGAGGGAGAGATGCTTCCAATTACCAATCTGCCCATCAAGCATGCCAGATTTTACTGTTCCCAAAATCATATTCTAGGGAAAAAACTGCTATAAAAATGGTACATATTTCTAAAAATCTTGCTCTAAAATGTAATGTTTATTACCTATTTCAAAGGGTATCCTATATAGGCAGCATAGTCCCAAATCATTGTTTCCCAAAAAGGTATGTGCATAAAAAGATAAAGTGGATTGCTCCAGGGCATGGGATTATGAGCATTTCTTTCTTTCCTTTTTTTTAAATATACCATGAGGTTTTTAAATATATTTTTATTTTTGAATCATAAAAAATAAAAAATTCACACAATTCCTGATAATCTAATTTTGAAAATAAACTAAAGAGACACATATATAGGGCCATGCCCAGCTTACATATTGCAATTCAACCACTAGCAAGTCAATTAACTTCTATTTTTCGAAAACTATATATGCAAGAACATGTACGGTAATAGCTTATGAACAATTATTAACTATGATCATTGTAACGATTGTCATAATAAATAACTATGATGATTTTGTCAGAAAGAATTGAAACCCCTTTAGAACAGTGGTTCTCAGCCTTCCTAATGCCACAATCTTTTAATACAGCTCCTCATGTTGTGGTGACCGCCCCCACCATGAAATTATTTTCATTGCTACTTCACAACTATAATTTTGCTACTGTTAGGAATCAGGCGACCCCTGTGAAAGGGTCGTTCGATCTCCGATCTCCGAAGGGGTCGCAACCCACAGGTTGAGAACCACTGCTTTAGACCCTTCACTCACCTTCTGCAAAAGTCAGAATGTCCCCGGCACCAATAAAATCTAGACCTTCAGTAGCCGTTCCATCAACAACACGCCATTCGACCGTCACTTGGCCTAAGCTGCCCCCTGTCCTGTGGATCATCATTTCCACTGTGGTTTGTGGCTGCTCCTGAACTTCTACATATGAGCCATCTTCTGATGTGTTGGGACTTATACTGTAGATGACAAACACCCCAAAGGCATCACCATTTAATGCGATGACAACTGTGGAAGTATTTGGCTGTCCTATGATTGGCTGGTTGTTAAAGCTGGCTGTGCGGTTCATAAGGTGAACTTCAAGAAGGGAAATCAGGAAACTCTCGTCCGTCTCAGGGAAATCATCAGGAAGGATAGAAACGGTGAGATTTGCAAATTCATCGCCTTCCAGCATTATGGCCCAGTGCCTAGTCGCCGGCTCATAGTCACTACCAGCCACAGCCTGACTACTAAAAAGAGAGGCTACCCTGGTCATGTTTTTCCTATAGGTCCTGAAATCTGAGCTGTTGCCAGCTGGGCTGGTCCATGATGTCATCCAAAAGCATTGAGAGCCCTCTGAAGCACTGAACAATGAAAATGCCACGCAAGCATGCTCTTTGAGGCACAAAGTGGCACATGTCTCCTGGGGTTCCCCTACTGCAGAGACATTCACCCACGTTCTCCAAAACGGGTCTGGCATCCCTTGAATTGGCGGTTCATAGTAGGATAGTACATCTTGACCTTCCTCAACAGCAAGAGCCACTACATCAATATCAGAAGTACTGTAGAACAACTGCAGCCGGCCAAAGTGCCCTCCGCTAAAACACGGAGTAACAAAAGACAGGTTAGAGGCATGAAGGAACATGTGTATCATGTACAAAAAAAGAAATTCTGCCTGTGGCTTTCACTTTCTTGTTAACGTGTGTTTAAAGTACTACTACGACAGTCACACACATGTATCTTAATTGCATTTCTCCTTCACTGTTTGCTTTCCCAGGTAAGGAAACTTTACTTTTCACGATGGTTTTCAGTCAAGCAATACCCATTTTCAATCAAATTATAAAAACACCTTGCAAAGTATGCAGGTAGTCTCCATCTCAGAACTGGCAAAAAGAATAAGAAAATTAATCTATTTTTCATTGTTAAAACAAAGTAGTGATCGTCTCAGCATGAATGAACATAATTATTTGCCACAAGTTCTCAAGAACCTTTATTTTCTCCTCCTGGAGAAGCTCAAGCAAACAATATGCTGACTCACAGAGCAAATGGAAGGGGAGAAAAGAACCTGAAAATCGACCACTTCGTATAACCCCTGAGTGGTCTTCAATTTTTAGACTAATTGTATTTCAGATCTAATTCTAAAAAAGATCACAGGTACATTTCTGGGGTTAGAGAGCCAATAAAGCCCATTTTTCATTTTACTAATAATATTGCTGTAGTTGGGTGTGCTCAAGTTGGTTCTAACTTGCAGTGAAATCACTTGACAGAGTGACTTCTTCAGTCCCCCTGAAGAAAAAGTCCCGTCCATTTGTTCCTATGAAGACCACGGATACGCTAAGGGTGCTGAGTCAGAATGACACAGCCATGACCTTTAAGGAGGCCGACCCCCAGGTCTCACTCCCATGGAGATGGCTTTGAACGATCAACTTTGGCGGTTAGTAGCTGAACTCAACGCTGCTAATAGGACAAATATTTATGATGGGCTCTTTATAGCAAGATATGTTTCAGTTAACAAGTTATAATAACTTAACAGTGTAGAAAAGCCACTAACCCTAAAATATGCAATTCTACAAGAGATCTAGCACAACTACCCACAACGCCCAGCATTCCCAGAGATCCAGCTCATATACCTTCTCCTGACAGTAAGGTTAGCCCAGGCACTTCTTTCCAGAGGCTCTTGAACACGGTAAACCGACTGAGCAAAGGCTACTGTACCATAAGGGTTATCATTGGCAGGAATTATAAGATTAGCCACTTGATCTAACCCAATAGTACCTCCACCGGAGGCATCAGTTAGTTGCACTTGGATTACCTAAAAATACAGTGAAAACTTCCTTAACAGGATCCCATTTCTGAAATAAGAATAGTAATGCAGAAAATAAAAGCAATCATATCCATACTAGAAAAAAACCAAAATGGAATAAATATACATAAACTCAAGGAAACTCTCCATTTACATTTTTAAGTGGGAAATATTTATTATCTCTTTTCCCAATCACATTTTTAAGTTCAAATTTAAAAAGATAATTCATCAACTTTTAATGATCTAGTATGATTACTCATAAGGATATAAACTGTTAAAATTGCTTACTATTAATTATATATACAATCTCATGCAACAATAGTAATACCCCTGGTTATATTTATTATTTTAATAATACGACTTTTACATCCTATGCCTTTCCTTTACTTATGGAAAATAATTCATCCACTTTATAATGAATTGGTAATCTATCATGCTTTATTTTCCATATTATCTTAAGCAGAAATTCTCTGACAACATGTAAAGAAACAAAAACATAGCACCACAAAGCCATCGAAATTCAGAGAGCAGTAGCGGGAAAGGCTTTGCCTATATTAACTAATAGTATTTTTAGAAGAAAATGGCACAATTAGCACTGAAAACAAATTTTATTCCTTTTCTATTAAAACATTTTATTATCCAATATCATAGACCAAGTGTTATTAAAAGTTATTTTATGGTTTCTAGGCCTTCATAATTGTTGAGTTTCATAAAATACAATTATCTTCAGTCAGTGTATGTTAATGATACATGAACTTTCTCACTGACACTTGTTTTCGACCACTTCTGCCTTTTTAATCACAAAAAGACAAATACCGAAAGATGCATGTAGTATGATATTTGCCATACAGTAAATTCTCAAAAAACTGTTAAAAAATAATGAAAGATGAGAGAATCAAATTTTACACTTCAGACTGATTCATATTCAAACCAAAACAAATTATACATGCTAGCAGATTAAGTGCTTATATGAAGCATAGTAAAATTTTTACCAAAATATTGAAAACTCTGTGTGCCATATATATGTACACATAAACTGGCATTTGTGCACGGTCTACTTATGCAATATTCTTGCTTTTATATTAGCTGAAACTCATTATTGTACACATATTACTTTATTTATACTATGGCATAATATCTTATGTTATTACATCTTACAACATTTTTAACATTCTCACAGAAATAATTTGACATCCTTTCAAAAATGTCACGAGTCAATTGCTCTAGTCATTATTAGTAAGGCATGTTTTACAGTGTCATTCTATACTAGTCATTCCTCTCACCTCTTCAATCTCCGGAATGTCGTCAGCCAGGACCTCTAACAACAAGGTTTGAATGGTTTCCCCAGGGGCAAAGGTCACATTACCTGAGACAACTCGCAGGTCGCCAGTAGCAAGCTGTCCATTAATGGTGGCAACCCACTGAACAGTAACATTGCCAAGTGTCCCAGAATTTCGAATTATTAGCAGGTTTACCTTCACTGAGTTAAACTCAGGTTCCTCTACAATAAGTTTAGTAATCTGAAAACCTGAGGAGCAAAGCAGAGTTCATTTCAAATGCAAAGTGAAACTGAGTCAGTGCATAGCCAACTTGTAATCAATTCTCTTCTCCCCCTAACCAACTAAAGTACCATTATACCCACTAAATCACACACGCACACACATGCTATGATGATATAATACCCCCAAAAAAAAACAAATTCCAAATTATTTTTCATTACAATAAAAGCAAAGATAGTGAATTCTATGCGCATCAAACTCAGATACATATGAGATGCAAGTGAGTTGTGTGGTCAGTTGAACAGTGTAACCCTGGTCCAAAAGGCAACTACCATTTATTTAGCGCCACGGCTGCTGCCATGCTGGATCGAGGGTGTGGTGTCACCAGATGTTCCTATCTAATAACAAAGTCTAGAAATCCAGATTGTGGTCCAAAGACTGATTAAATAATTATTTTTTAAAGACCTAAGATACACAGAACACATCTAGGAGCCCTATCTGTCCCAAAAGCCAATAGGCTCTGACATCTCAATATATCCTAAGAGGCTGATTTATTTATTTGTTAAATTACCCCTAATGAAAGTCAGTAACAACAAGCATAAAAATGTTCAGCCTCAGAAACCCTTGCAAGCAATTCTACTCTGCCCTATTGGCTCCATGAGTCTACATTAACTCAATGGCAGTGAGGAATGGGTGGGCACTGTCCATAACTGGACCATATGTACTGTACACTTATATGTCAGCAATGACAGTTCATATACAAATAACAAAATCAAATCAAGTCTGAGCCTAAAAATAAAGAAAAGGTCATGTATATGACCTTTATAGACCTGTATAAGAGAGATAAACATTAGTGTATTTACCAAATAACCCATAGGGGTCGTCAGAGGCCTCAATAATAATGACCGCCTCTGTTAATGCCCCTAGTCTCGCTCCTCCTGTTGTTTCATTCAGTAGTTGCACAAGAAAAGATTCTTCCAGCTCCGGGTAAATGTCGTTAATGATATATACTGGCACAGCTTTACTGGTTTCCCCTTCCAGCAGGACCACATCCGATGAAGCTATACTGTAATCTTCTCCTACAAAGACAAAAAGAAAAGTGCTAATAGACTTATTATAACATAAACATTCCAGATATTAGGGAAGGCTTATGTGTTGAATTTCCTGGGAACACCTGGAAAAACCTTTTTTGAGGGTGTTGAGTGTCTCTATTGTAAACAAGAATACACTGTCTTCCACTTGAAAAATAAGTACGATAATATGACAACATAATTTTTTAAATCATTTTATTGGGGACTTGTACACCTCTTATCACAATCCACACATCCATCCACTGAGGACAAAATCATTTAAAAGACCTCCTACAGGTGCTCAAGTTCATTCTTTTGCGCTCAGAAAGTTGTGTGCATAATTCATTCTACATAAGGTGTTCTATTTAGCACATATGAAGGAGAGAAAAGAATCCATCCTCACAAGAGGATCTCTTGTGTTGCTAAGAAACAAAAAATAATAATTGAACTAAAATTCTGATCTCACTGGGGAAATAAATGACATGTCAACATCATTGATGATAAAGCTCAAAACTCTGGAATTTTCTACATTGGTAGGAGCATGAAGGACGCCCTTATGGAAACTGGGGGCAAATATCCTAGAACAAAATCAATGCTCACGCTCACTAGCATGTTGGGGCACCTTCAGGCAGTCAAACATTCCCAGGATTTCATACCTGTATGTGCACATACATGCTCACCAAAGGACTAGATGAACCTGGCCTATTGTCTTCCACACAAGTATTCTGTCTCAGTAATTTTTTTTATATTCTCATCGCTTATTTCAACAGAAAGCACAAAATTTCATTCATTCTTTCACACAATTGTTGAATACTCAAGGGACTGCCCTGGCAACATGAGGAGGTGTTAACATCGTTTTTTTCATCAATGAAAAAAATGAATGTGGGCTTGTGAGACTGACCTTAAAAACAACATGCCAGTGTCCAGGGCTGTGGAAGGACGTGTCAAGGACAAAGGCTACACAGAGATGAGTGGTCTTTCTGAGATCTTAATTTTTGTGTCTCCCCGTTAATCTTTTTTTTTTTAATCATTTTATTGGGGCTCATACAACTCTTATCACAATCCACGCATACATCAATTGTGTAAATCACACTTATACATTCGTTGCCCTCATCATTCTCAAAACTAACTAGCTCTCTCTCTCTCTCTCTCTCTCTCTCTCTCTCTCTCTCTCTCTCAACCCCATCCATTCAAAATCATTCCTGTGAGTACCACAGGAACAATTCTAATTGAATAACCCTCAAGTAATCTTCTTTTAAATGCTATAACGACATCACCAAAGAAGGTGGACTCCTCATTCTTACATTGGCAATGAGATCATGGTTCATATACATAAAATAGTCAATGCTGACCATTGTCCCTGCCATGTTCTCCATGAAAAAGCAAGCAAGATGACCAGACACAGAGAAAGGGTCTTTGCTAAGCACTGCAACCACAGGGCTGTTAATTTATCCCTGCAATCCTAGCAGTAATTTACACATGAATCCCTTACAAAAACTAGCAAGTCCACACCGAGGAAAGCTAACAATGTTTTCCTCCATTTATTTTTCATTAGTTTGAGTGTAATTGGTGGTCTTAGCTTTAAATTCACATACAATGCTGCCAACAATTTTCAATAACTCTACAAATGCACAGTGTCCCAAAAAAGGATAGAAACTCTAGATTTGTGCCTTTGAAAGATGGAAAGTGTTGTCTGGGGATTTATTTCTCTAAGTAAATCTTTAAGGTATTTTGTTATCAAGGTTACATTGTTCCTTGAAACCAATTCACTTTTCCTTTAGGATCGTTTCTCACCAGCAATTGCAGTTATTGGCATGGCTTTAAACTTCACAGAAACATCTGCAAATGCTCCTCCTGTTCTGGTCACGTTGACAATGGGTCCAACATGATTTTCTGCCACTCTAACTATTGGCGCTGAAAGCTGAAGTGTGCCAAATGCATCATCATTGGCCAAGATAATTAGATGAGCAATAGTTTCTACTTTGAGCCCAAGGCGTGGAGAATTTGCAACTGAAAAATAAAAGAAAATGCTTGAAAACTAATATGACAGGAGGTCCAAATAATTCACAGAAATATTCCATTACCTTTCCATTCTGCTTTTTTCCACAAAACGTTTTGAAGCATCTTGTATATCAGAATTTTTTAAACTGGCCAAAAACAACCACCAAGCCTCACCACTTTGTGTTCTCTCTCTATCTTTCATATATTTTAAAATATCCTTGAAACCTAACTTTCTGCAGAAATCAACTTTTCAATACAACTATAAAGGCAAGAATGACAGAGATGGACTAGATACCTAACCTCCTCAAATAAAAGGCGTTCGCTAATCAACAGACTTTATCAAAAGAATAAACAGACCTTGCAGACTAGACTTTGGAAATGACATACCTCATAAGGATCTAGTCTACAATATGTACAAAACTTTAACAACTAAAAAACAAAAAGGCAGATAATCCAATCAAATGCCTGGACAAAGGACAAGGCCAGGCACTTTCCAAAAGGGCTTTAAGTGGCCAACAAACACATAAAAAGGTGCACCATGTCATGAGGCGTTTCAAAACAAAACCCACTGCCATCCACTCACACTCTGATTCATGACAACCCTACATTGGCCATTACAGAAATGAAAATCAAAATGACAATGAGGTATTATCCCACCCACTGCAAAAATGTCAATGTTAAGAAACAATGACGGGAAACATCAAGTGCTGGTGAGATTTTGAGGCTACTGGAAATCTCATATGATGTTGATGGGATTATTAAAGAGGTATCACAACTATGGAAAACAGGATGACACATCTTCGAAAGGTCTAGAATTGAAATATCTTATAACTCAGCAATCTCACTCCTCAGAATATATCCTAGTGACCCAATAACAGTGCCACGAATAGACATGTGGACAGCTGTGTTTATTGAAGCATTATTCAGAATAGCACAAACAGCGAAAACTCAAGTTCTCATCAGTGAATGGATATTACAAGTTGAGGTGCCTATGTACAAGAAGAATCTGAAGAGTCTGCTGCTGAGTGAAAGAAGTCACTTGCAAAGCGCCAGCATTACATGATGTCCCTTGTATAAAGAGACAAGAAGGGGAATACATACAGACGGTTACCACAGATGGGAGAAGGTGGGAAGACAACCTACTCTCTACAAAGCAGACACTTGTTATTTTGGGCGATGAGGAAGGTAATCACAAATATGGATGAAGCTGGCACAACTTGACCAAGGCAGAGTAAGACGAAGTAGTACACAAGAACATGAGAAAATTTTGGTAAATGCTATCCCCTAGATGACAACAGTAGTGACCACCAAATCCATGAGTGGTTACATAGGTAGGTATGTATGAACACATTTCTACAGGAAAGCATTTGTGAGTACATGGGTGTGAACCTATAGTTTTATCTGTAGGCACATGCAAATACATGTTTTAGTGCTTACATATATGAGAAAGCTTCAAAATCTACATGTAAAAATGAAACTCAGAAGTAATGGAATTTTTCTACCAGTTTTTTGACACTCCTTTGCATATGATATGTGTTAAGTTCATAAGGGAGCAATTACAGGTGTATCCTAGAAATAACCACAAAGGATTGGTTTACTGAATTTGAAAGCTTAGGACCATAGTATTCTGAGACAACTCAGCCAATCAGCATAGCATAGTTCATGGAACTATTGTTCCACATCCTGGTTTGGTGAGTATCCTGTGGAGTCTTGCAAGCTTAATGTAATTCGTTAGCCTTCAAATTGGGACTCCCGCATCCACAGCCATCATATTTCAGTAGCCAAATGGCAGGCTTATCCAAGTGAACATTACCACCACATGCACCAAAAGAGCTAACCATCGGAGACCAAAGGTCTCAGCATGTGACCATAAAACAAAGGGAGGAAGGCAGAGAGACAGAAAGTAAGGAGAAATGGAAACAGAGAAACCAGCAGAATGCGAGAAGAGTGCCATTGCCTTGAGATGCTTGCAAGTATCGTAACAAAACAAAATGTGCAAAAACTGTCGGACAGAAAACGAATCTGCTCTATAAATTTGCACCCACATCACAATGTAAATAAATAAGGCATGACTATTGTACCTGTTGGCAGCAAAAAATAAAGAAGGAAGCCAAAATCCCAATGGAAAAATTAAGCTGCAGGGTAACAGCCACACAAACCATGGCCTCATCTATACTGGGACCAGAAGAACTGAATGGTGCCCAGCTACCACTATCCTGACTCTGCTCCAGGGACACCCAAACCATCCTGGACAGGATGGGAGCCAAACAGAAAACCAAACCCAAATGTCTAAACATTTTAAAACTTGCCATGGGGGAACTGCCAAGACCATCACCCTGAGATACCCTTAGAACTCGGGTCTGAAGCCACTCCCAGAGGGCACATTTTACCCAAATAATAGAGTGGCTCATGAAATAACAATCTCACATGACAACCATGTTCCTTTAAAGAACGACCAATATTAGACAACATGATCAATATTTAACCCAAAGTAAGTATGAAAAAGTAAAGGTGAAATTCTCTCTCTCTCACTGCCATTGAGCTGATGCCGACGCACAGCAATCCTATAGGACAGGGTAGAACTGCCCGTGTGAGTTTCCATTACATCTTTACGAGAGTAGAAAGGCCGTCGTTATCCCATGGGAAGGCTGGTGGTTTTGAACTGCCTGCCAACTTGGAGATTGCAGTCCAATGGGCCACCAGGGCTCCAGCAAGGAAAAGTTAGATGAATGGAAACAGACCAACTGGGCATATTTGTCTTCAACCATTGTCTTCAAAGAAGCAGCCGTCTAAGTGAGGCGTCACCTGAGTCCATATGGAAGAAGCACACTGGCCTTTGTAAACCCAGGACGGTGAATAATGTAACCCAAATCGGGAGGAGGGAGTAGTATCAGAAGTTAAATTGTAAGCCTGCTTTGCAGAAGTCTACGGAGGACAGTGGAAGGCAAAATCCATTTGCAGGGTCCCGTCATGGTTGGAGCCTCCAGTGTATCCTCTCTGATCATATTCAGGGAGGTGAACAGGCTCGTACCCTACAAAGAGCATTATAAAGCCAGTCGTGGCAGACATAGTTGGGTTAAATACCTTATAATTTGATCTCCCTTTTGATTCCATTGAAAGTAGTTCCCGTTTTTAATATTTTCTGATTGATGTTGGGGTCTTTGTTTGTTTGCTTGCCTTCTATGAGTTTGTGTGATCGTGTTCTGTTTTGTATGATTTTCTGTGTAAGAAATCCAGGAGAAGTGAATCTACAGACACGGCAACTGGATAGGGGCATGGCAAAGGAGGATGGGAGGAACGAGGAGTTACCAAGTATGAGAAGAAAAAGTTCTACAATAGATTGTGCTGATGATTGCACAAATCTTCTTATCCCTTTTGAAGGACTTAATTAAATTGTATGATATGTGAAGTATATGCCAAAATTTTTTTAAAAAAACCAAAACATTTTTACCAGGGTTCAAGTTCCACTCACACCAGTTTATTCCAAGCAAAGCATGTTTAAGCATGTCTCTGTGATCAGTTCTCTCAGAAACACACGTGTCTTAGTCTCCTTGTGGAGCCTTCAACAAAAAGGTGCGATGAGAACATGGCCCCCACGGTGCCTGCTGGGCCGATTAAACCCATGGCAGAGAGGTCAATTCACCAGACTATAGATTATGGCAACTGTTTAGAGCAATGTGAAAGGATAATCAACAGGTTTTTTGTTCAATAAAATTTCTTTAACTTTATAAGGAAACCTGGTGGCGCAGTGGTTGTGCATTGGGCTAAGAACCACAGGGCCGGCAGTTTGAAACCACCAGTTGCTCCTCTAGAGAAAGATGAGGCTTCTACTCCCATAAAGTCTCATAAACCCACACTGGCATCCCTACTCTGCCCCATGGTGTCACCATGAGTCAAAATCGACTCAATGGCAGTAAGTTTGCTGTATGTTTGGGTTTGATTGTTTTTTTTGCCGGGGGAGGGGGAATCTTTGATTTTGTAGCAATTCTTTATCCTCAAATTAGATCGTTTTGTGCATAGGATTTTTTTTTAATGTGTGTATTTTACAGATGAAGAATCAGAGACACAAGAAATTGAAGAATTCAGCTAAAATCTTATACTAGTACGTGTTTAACATACTAGCAAGCATCCTAGTGTTCTACTCTATTGCTCATTACCTATAATGTCTCATCAAACTGGCTTTAGCATCTTCAATTATTTTCCATTTTATCATCCTGTACTTGGCCCTCACCCAGGTATAATTACCAATCTTCTCACCAGTGCTCTCCTTAGCCATAAGCAAGAACAAAGGATCTATCTAATCCTAGATTGTTTTTGTCAATTAAAATTGACTATCATATCCGTTTGCATTTAATTCTCCTTTAATTATTTCACACCATAGCTCTTGTTTATTCTAAATGTCTCTGAGTATGCTGCAGCGTTCTAGGAACAAAGTTAGCACGAATTGATTTTGATTGCTTCTCTGGTCCTTTAGCTCATTCATCCTCCACATATGGCACTTTGTTATAGCAGCAATTGCCAATAATATATTGAATTCTTCCTACATGCAAGTCACTATTAACTTTTGATCATTATCTTATTAAGACCCAATCCTATTTCTTTATTATAGATAAGGAAACTGGGGTTTCAATGGATATATCACACCATACATACTACACAAGAACACGAGCTGTCTAACACCAGCATTCACAGTCTCTTGCAATTGTACTCAACAGTATTCCTTCCTAGTTTATTTCTATTTTACACAATGAACTGCAAGTTCCCTAAAAACTGGGCTGTGTTTTATAGTTCTTAATTAATAAGACTAATTATTCAGTTTTACTGTAACTTATTTGCTATTATAGCTGGTCTTAAATCTTGGTGTTTACTTGTTTTTATTTTTTTTAAGAACGGTGGTATTATGTGAGAATGTTGAACCTTGATTGTGATCTGAAGACTTGATGTTTGCTCTTTTGCTATAAAGTAAGGTTCTTCTTGCAACCTTCCATTGTGATTACTTGCATTGCAAGCAAGAATGGTGCTCACTCTATGCAGTACATTTTCCTGGTGTTATAAGTAAGGTCAACAAACGTATTTGTAAGAAACATTAATCCATATGACCAAATAGAGCCAATGTGTAGACCTCAAGATCTTATATTTGGGGCTATATTATTTCAAACTCACTCCCATTGAGTCCATTATAACACATAGCATTTCCAAGACTTGGTAAACCTTTATGTGAGCAGACAGACTCATCTTTCTCCTGAAGAGCAACTGTTGGGTTAGAACCCCTGACCTGTGGTTAGCAACCCAATGCTTACCCACCAAACCTCTAGTTTCCTTCAGAAGACCTTATGTGTTCCCTAATCATAATCATAATTGTTCTAAAACGTATACTAAATTATCCCTCACCAATACACACAACCCCACTGGTTAAGGAATCTTCAAGAAATTGATCAAAGTGAAAAAACTCCAGGGTCTTGCTACCAGGATTACCCTGTGAATTCCCAGATGTTTGGGAAGCTACAATACATAACAAAATACTACTGCTGTTCTAATTGTTATTTGCTGCCCTCGAAAAATTTATGTATGGCAGAATAAAACATTTCCTGGCTTACAGCATCTTAGTGCTTGTTGATTTGTGTGGCAGTGACATAATCTCCTGTCAACTTGTCTAGCCTGTCAATCAGGTCATAGCCAATGGTGCCTCTGTATGGACATGGCCTTCTCCAGGATCCTGAGAACTCCTGCCTTCCTCCCCAGAGCTGGGACACATGCACACTCTCTCTGCTTTGTCTTCTTGTTGACAAGCTACATGGAGCTATGCTGAGTACAGCTAGAGCCTTGGAGCTGGAGAAGCCACATGGAGACCCACACCACTGGCCTATGATCTTCCTGCATTCTGCATCATTGCATGTGCTGCATGAGTATAGAGATGAATTTATGGACTAGTATTGGATTTGGGGGCTAATATCGGACTTATGGACTTGATCTGAAAAGGGCTGGAATGCTTTCTCAATATATAATTGCTCTTTGACATAAAGCTCTCTCTCTCTCTTTTTTAAAATCATTTTATCGGGGGCTCATACAATTCCTATCACAATCCATCCTTCCATCCATTGTGTGAAGCACATTTGTACATTTGTTGTCATCATCATTCTCAAAACATTTGCTTTCTACTTGAGCCCTTAATATTGGCTCCCCCGCCCTCATGAACCCTTGATAATTTATAAATTATTATTATTTTGTCGTATCATACACTGTCTGATGTCTCCCTTAACCCACTTTTCTGTTGTCCATCCCACAGGGAGGAGATTATATGTAAATCTTTGCAATCGGTTCCGCCTTTCTAGCCCACCCTCCCTCCACCCTCCAGGTATCGCCACTCTCACCACTGGTCCTGAAGGGATCATCTGTCCTGGATTCCCCGTGTTTCCAGTTCCTATCTGTACCAGTGTACATGCTCTGGTCTAGTCAGATTTGTAAGGCAGAAATGGGATCATGATAGTGGGGGGAGGAAGCACTTAAGAAGTAGAGGAAAGTTTTATGTTTCATCATTGCTAACCTGCACCCTGACTGGCTCGTGTCCTCCCCACAACCCTTCAGTAAGGGGTTATCCAGTTACCTACAGATGGACTTTGGGTCTCCACTCTGCACTCACCCTCATTCACAATGATATGATTCTTTGTTCTTTGATGCCTGATAACTGATCTCTTTGATACCTCGTGGTCACACAAGCTGGTGTGCTTCTTCCATGTGGGCTTTGTTGCTTCTGACCTAGAGGGATGCTTGTTTATCTTCAAGCATAAAGCTCTCTCTTAACACATAATCTGGATTTGTTTCCCTAGTCAACCCAGACTAACATGTTTCAGTCCATACAGTTTGAATCCAAAAGTCAGTTAGTTATGAATTAAATATAAGTTCCTAAAATTTAGAACTGAATTGACTTAAAAAAAAAGAATTCCAAGTAGTGTTCTGTTTACTATTCCCTTATAAATAAACTTTATGAATATGATTCTTTTAAAATTAGAGCTTGCTTCAGTATTTTTATGGGCTATTCTTTGTCTAATTCTAAATCTTTTGCCTTAAGATTCCTATTTCTAATAATTTCTAACAATAACATTAATATATACTTACTTGGACGATCTTGTACTTTTCCTATTAAAGTAGAGTTCAGTAATTCAATAAACACAGATTCTGATCTTTCTGGTTCACCGTCATCCACAATTGAAATAGTGATTGTTGCCTCACTCTGGTTAGCTCTGAAAATGACAAACCCAGAAGCTGGTATGTAGTCGCTTCCTTGAGTTGCTCTGGCTAAATTAGGTGGAAAGTAAGGTGGTTTCTCCATGTCATTCACTGTTGCATAGATGACTGTGACTCTTCCCATGAGGCCTTTCAACCTTATTACAGACAATGTAATGTTCTGGGTTGCTTCCTCAACTTCGATTGGTCTATTTTTCTCTGAGAAGATGAACACCCCATAGGGATCATCACTAGCCCAAACTGTCAATGTGGCATTAATGTGAATGCCTAAAGAACCACTGGAGACATTAAGGATTGACACAGAAAATGCCTTATCCAGTTCTGGAACTTCATCTGGCAATATTTCCACTGTGATGTTGGCACTTGTCTGGCCAATCTCAAAAGTGATGTTGCCAGAGGCGGAGGCGAGATCACCGTCGGGATCAGAGTCTATGCTCCAATGCAAAGTCACCTGAGACAGCGCGCCATGACTTCTCATAACCTAGGAAACATTGGTAGGTATTAAAAGAGGAATTACCGAATTGATGTTGAGGTTTATTTTATTTTATTTTATATAAACTTTTTGAAATTTTATTTTATTTTATATAAACTTTTTGAAATTTTATTTTATTTTATATAAACTTTTTGAAAT